GCACATATAGAAACAGACGGGGAAAGGGAGAGGTGGGATGGAAGGCGTGGACAGCAGGCGGCAGGCACAAGGGGGAGCAGCATTGCGGCAGAGTGTGAGAGAGCGACGCTCATCACTTGTGCCAGGGGATCCAGTAATCTAAGAACTTGAGCATGCGCGTGCGTGTTGCTGCGCACCGCGTAGAGATCGCCGTTGGCGCGCGAGTTGGCATCCCAGAGAATCGCACGATCAGTGAATACCACGTCGTACCCCAGCGCCAACAAGCTCCGCACCACGTGCACCTTCTGCCACACCTGCGCGCGGATGAGAAGGGAAGGATTTGAGGTGGTAAGGTGGGAAGGCGGTAAGGTGGGCAGGCGGTAAGGTGGAAGGGAAGGGGATGGGGGGAGGCAGGGAAGGGGATGGGGGGAAGCAGGGAAGGGGATGGGGGGAGGTAGGGAAGGGGATGGGGGGAGGCAGGGAAGGGGATGGGGGGAAGCAGGGGAGGGGATGAGTGGAAGCAGGGGAGGGGATGGGGGGAAGTAGGGGAGGGGATGGGGGGAAGCAGGGGAGGGGATGGGGTGAAGCAGGGAAGAGGATGGGGGGAAGCAGGGAAGGGGATACGGGGAAACAGGGAGGAGGATGGGGGGATGCAGGGAAGGGGATGGGGGGAGGCAAGGAAGGGGATACGGGGAAACAGGGAAGGGGATGGGGGGAAGCATGGGAGGGGATGGGGTGAAGCAGGGAAGAGGATGGGGGGAAGCAGGGAAGGGGATGGGGGGAGGCAGGGAAGGGGATGGGGGGAGGCAGGGAAGGGGATACGGGGAAACAGGGAAGAGGGTGGGGGGATGCAGGGAAGGGGATGGGGGGAAGCAGGGTAGGGGATGGGGGTTCGAAACGCTGTTCGATTGGGGTGGCGTTGGCGACCATCTCTGTTCCTCCCCATCTGTTCCTCTCCCTCTGGAGTTGGTGAGATGGGGAGGGGGGAAGAGCGGATGGAAACGCTGATGACGAGGGGAAGCGCGAGTGACTGGGAGGCAAGGGCGACGACGGGACGTGCGAGCGACGAGGGGAGGCGAGGGCGGCGAGGGTCGGCAAGGGTGATGAGGGGAAGCGTCAGCGACGAGAGGGAATGTGGGCGGCGAGGATCGGTGCGGGTCGACGAGGGTGATGAGGGGAGCGCGGGTGACGATCTGAAACGCGGTATGTCTACTATCAACGATTGCGACGAGGGGATGAGTGAGTAACGTGGGAAAGCGCGGGCGACTAGGGGAACATATGCGACCAGAGGGTAGGCGAGGGTGATGAGGGAAAGCGCGGGCGACGAGGAACGCTGTCTGACGTGGGAAAGGGCGGCCGACGAGAGGGAACATATGCGACTAACGGCAGCGTGCGTCACGCGAAGCAGTACAGTATTCGCGTGAACGACCCGTGCCTAAAACAGGTACGGTTGTGACACGAGCCTGAACCGTAGCAAGTGTGAGAAGGGCCTGCGTAGGCGACGCGAGCTTGAATGCGCGACGCGAGTAACGCTCAGATCGTTCACTAACGCAAGTGCCGCGGGGGAAGGGGTTGTAACACGAGACCGGTGACGAGAGGGGGAGGTCGGAGCGTGCACTGACTAAGATGGTTGGGGTGGATAGTTATCTTTCTTTCCGCACAAAAAAAAACCCTATAAAGGACTCGCTTGTGCCAACTAACACTAGTTTTGCCTCGGAGCCTCCTAGTCTATGAGTTCTACTTGGTAAGCAAGTTATGTGAGTGGTGAACAGTGCATCTGGTTGGCGATCATCGCGTCAGTTCTGTTTTTGGCAAATCGGGTTCCTTTGTCGCAGGACGATTGCCTGGGCTCGCGAGAGTTTCATCAAAGAAAGTAGGGTAACTCTGTTTTTGGCGATTTCAAGTTCAAGAATCTTGAACTTGAAAATTACATGCTGTACTCAGGCTTTAAGCCAAGGTAACAAAACCTAGCTAATCCCCAGCCTTACACGGGTGAACTCCTATCAATGCCATCCCTGAATGCTTTCGCAGATTCCTCCCTGAATTCGCACTGACAGAAGGAGATCTCACGTCGGAGTAAATCGAACAGATCATAAGTTTTCCGTGCTCTGAATCGTGCAGACGAGATTGACCATCTGAGTCAGGGAATATCAGGGGCAACTGCACCTCGAGATTACCCCAGTTCTGACAAATTCAAGCCAAGCAGTTTCCCGCGCTCCTGAAAGGCAAGCGCGCGAAACTCGGTTTCGCAAATTTGACCCCTGTCTCTCGCGAGGCTATGCTCGTCGTAAAGCCAGCTTCGGTAACCATCCGCAGGTCACAGATTGTGTCTTCGCAAATGTAACTCGTCCAGCACTTCGCCCCTCCAGCTTTGCCTGTGCGACAGAGCTCCCCTGCTGGGGCATGGTGTTGGGCTTCTGGATGACACAAACAAGCATCACCATCAGGCAAGGCAACCCCTGAAACCAGATTTTTCTTAAGAGGGAATCCTGAGAGATTCAACCTTAGGTTCAAACGACTAAAAGCAGTAGTGCAGACTCGGTGACGACGGAACATGGACTTTCCTTAGCTGCTGAGTTCCTAGATTCCTTTTCACAATGGTCTCCTTGCTAGGAGTAACTTGAGAATCCAACGTCTTAGTGCTTTAGGACTCAACACCGTAGGCACAGAGCAGGCTAAGGTACATAGCGCAAACGACGCTCTACGAGAAACCTCAGGAAGCATGTTCAGACAGGGAATATAGGACGCCTGCTTGATTCGAGTATGCAGCAGCGGTGGATTTCTGTGTGATTCCTGAATCCTGATTCATCCATTCCTCAGTTCTAGTTCTGGCAGCATCGTCGAACCCTGCTCATGCTCACTCGCTTCCCACAGCGCACACGCCTAGTTAGTTCGGTTTAGATAGCTACCACACTATCCTAGGCTTAAGGTGCATAGAAACCATAGAAGTGTCGTTCTTAACTAAGCAGAGCGTTGTCTCAAATCTTACAGACAAATCTGTTCGGGTTTTTGAGTCGCAAGGACAGCAGACAGGCACCATGGATCCATCTCGTAACGCCGTTCCTTCTTCCGTCTCCGACATTTTAAACCGTGTGACTCCCATTCGAACCGCACCAGCTCCTGCAAATCCGGGAGTTCAGGAGATCGCCGCGTCGTTCCCGGCAAATCAACCCGGAAATCAAGCTCTACCGCATTCGCGGGTCGTTCAGACCCCGCAAGCAACCCTGATGAACGTACCCTCTCAGAGGTTCAGCCCTTCTACAGCAGCACCTCCGAACCTGCAGGCCCAGAGGACCGGCCAGCCGACGTTGATGCATCAAACCCTACCGTATCAGTCGGCGAATCAGGTTACGCATGGTCCTACGATGGCAGGATCGGTAAGGCAGAACGCGCCATCTCGAAGCCCCGTGCCTCAGGCGCAGATTTTCCAAGTTCAAGGCGCACAGGGAGCGCAGCTATTGCACGGAGCACCGCAAGTGCAGGGACAGCAAGTGCCGGGAGGATGTTTGCAGCAGGGAACGACAGTGCAGGCAAGCCGACAGCATCAGGGACAGCAACAGACCGGCCAGCCGTCAGCCGTCCGGCAAATTAACCAGCAGGTCAACAATCTGCAATATCAGCAGCCGGAGCAGCAGCAGAACCTGCAGCAACATCCGCAAAACCGGCTGTTGCAGCCGCAGGGTCGGCAGCTAGTGCCGGGCCAGCAACAAACGCATTCGCAGCAGCAACAGCAGCGGCAACAGCAACCACAGCAGCAGCAGCAGCAGCAGCAGCAGCAGCGAAACATGCTGTTGCAGCGGCCAGGTTTGGCAGGGCCAGTCAAGTTCACCCTGCAGCAACCGCAGCAGGGCCAGTCGCAAGCGCAGATCCAGCAGCAGGCGCAGGCGCAACAGCAGCAGCAACAGCAACAGCAACAGCAACAGCAACGGAACATGCTGTTACAACAGCAAAATCCAGTGCAGAGTCTCAAGCTGCCAGCTTTATTCCCGCAGCAACAGCAGCAGCAGCAACTGCCAGGTCAACAGATATTGCAGCCGCAGCAGCAACAGCAACAGAATAGGCTGTTGCAGCAGCAGCAGCAGAGTTTGCAGCAGCATGGCGTTCAAGTGCCGGCTTCGTCCCCACAGCAGCAGCAGCGGCAGCAGGCGAGTCCACAGGTAATGATGCAGCCTCAGCAGCAGGCGCAGCTAGAGCGGTTGCAGCCACGGCAACAGCAGTACCAGCAGCCACAGCAGCAGCATCAACAGCATCAGCATCTGCAGCAGCATCTTACAATACCTCAGACGTTGGCTGGCCTGCATGGTATGCATGTGCCGCAACAACAACAGCAGCAGCAGCAGCAGTCGCAGCAGCCACGCCAGCCGCCACAGCAGCGACAGCAACAGCCGCAACAGCAGCAGCAGGGGCAGCAGCAGCAGAAACAGAAGCAGCACCAACAGCACCAGGGGCAGCAGCAAGGGCCGCCGAAGAAACAGAAGCAGCAGCAGCAGCAGCAGCAGCAGCAGGTACAGCAGCAAGATCATCCCTGGTTTAGGCTTTCACCAGAGCTTCAACAAACCTTGCTAGGTCACCATACGCAGTGGCAGCAAGGCGTAGCGCCCCTTTTCCCACCACAAGCGGCGCAACAGCAACAGCCGCAGCAACCACAGCTTCTGCAACCTCCTGCTCAGCAGCAGCAGCAGCAGCAGTGGTGGGAGCAGCTGAAGAAACCGCACCCACCACAACCACAGTCACCGCAGCTGCAGCTGCAGCAGCAACAAGGGCGTGTTGTGGAACAAGGGGCAACTTCGTCTCAGGCGCAACGTATTCGCCAGGAGCAGCAGAAGTATCAAAGGCAGCAGCAACAGATGCAGGAGTACAAGCAACAGCAGGAACAGCTGCAGCAGTTGAGGCAGCAGCTGCAGCTGCAGCCGCAGCAGCCGAAGCAGCAGCACTTGACTGTTCAAGGCAATCAGATGCAACAACAGCATCAGGTGCCTATACAGCAGCAGCAGCAGCAGTTCGTGCAGCAGCAGAACAGTATGCTGCGCCAACAACAGCAGCAGCCCCACCCCATGTTACAGCAGCAGCAGCAGCAGCAGCAGCAGCAGCAGCAGCAGCAGCAGCAGCAGCAGCAGCAGCAGCAGCAGCAGATGCTATTGCAGCAGAAGCAGCAGCAGCAGCAGCAGCAGAAGAAGCAGCAGATGCTATTGCAGCAGAAGCAGCAGCAGCAGCAACTGCAGCAACAGCAGCAGCATCAGCCACAACAGCAGCAGCAGCAGCTCCAGCAGCAGCAGCCACAGCAGCAGCAGCAGCCGCAACAGCAGCAGCCACAGCAGCAGCTACTACTGCAGAAGCCGCAACAGCAACAGCAGCAGCCTCAAAAACACTCTCTCCCAGAAAACTCCCTGCCCAACCTATGGCGGAGCAAGCGGAGGAAAACAGCTCGCAAGGAGGAGGATGAGGACTTGGAGAAGGACGATGGGAACACTTCAGACGCGTTTCCTTCCTCACAGCCGAAAGTGCTCGAGCCTCTGCATTACAGGGCTCTCAGATCGATCCATGAGTCGATCCGACAGGTGGAGATGCTTTTTGGAGTGAAGGCGCTGGTGTTGAAAGAGAGGATGGATGGGGGAGAGGCTGGGGAGAACGGGGGTGAAGCAGCGGGTGAGCAGAAGGAAGGGGGAGAGGGGGGAGCGGGGGGGGCGGAAGGTGGGGGCGAAACAGGAGAGGAGGAGGGGCAAGGAGAGGGGGGCGATGGGGATGTGAGTCCTGTAGCGAGAGGAGAGAACGTGGTGGCGAAATGGGAGAAGGAGGAGAAGGAGGCAGAGACCCGTAGACGCAAGGCAGCAGCACAGCACGGGGACCTGCTGAAGATGCAGCTACAGGAATTGATCTCCTGGTGGGAAAAAAAGGTTGACGGGCGTCTGGGTCCCCGCGAGCGTGACCCGTTTCAGGGAAAGCCGGAGGAGGAAAAGGTAGCGAAAGAAGAGCTGTTTGATACGGTGCTAGCGGTGGTGAGGTTGCTGCCAGCGTTTCCTACGGAGTGCCAGGGGAGCCTGGGGAAGATGTGTGATGTTGGAGGGGAGGTGTGTGAGAGGACGGATGTGGATTTGTACTGGGTGGAACGGGTGGTGGCTTACAACCCTCCCGAGGTTCTCAAGATGATGCGCACAGAGAAGGGCATCAAACAGCTGGTGAGTGTCTGTCTGTTTCTTGCCTAGGTTTGGCACTAATGGTGCGGGAGGGGAGGTGGGGGGGGGGGGGTAAAGGAGGGGGGTTGTCGTCCTATGTAAAGCGGGTGGTGGCTTACAACCCTCCCGAGGTGCTCAAGATGATGCGCACAGAGAAGGGCATCAAACAGTTGGTGAGTGCCGTGGGCGTGTGGGAAAGATGTGAATCTTGTGGGGTAGGGATGCGAGGCGAAGTGCGTGAGAGGATGGAATGGCATTCAGCAGCTGGTGAGGGCCTGTCTGTTTCTTGCCTAGGTTTGGCACTGATGGTGCAGGATGGGAGGTGGGAGGAGCTAAGAAAGAGGGTTGTCGTCCTATGTAGAGCATGTGGTTGCTTACAACCTTGGGACTCAAGAAATTTCAACAACTGCTCTCCTTCCTTCACCCCTGCCCTGCCCTACCACTCGCAGGAGGTGACGATGCAAGAGAGGAAGGTGCGGGCGAGTGAGGAGGTGGTGGCGCAGATGGTGAGCAACTCTGCAGCACAGCTGAGGGAGGGCGGCGTGGAGACCGAAGCCTTTGTGCTTAGCCTCAAGTGCCCTCTCTCTCTCGCCCGCATCAAGGTCTGTCAGGCTTGTGCAAATTTGTATGATACTTTCAGTTCTCTCAGGATACACTCTTGTGGGCTCTCAGCCTCAATTGCTCTCGCTCCCTCGCCCGCCCCAAGGCCGTATCCAATCATTCCATTGTTTTTTATTGTGATTTCCTGCTTGCACAGCTTCTTTGTGTCTGTACAGGTACAGACGAAGTGCTCTTGTTGCTCCCATGCGCTTTCCATTCCCCATCCATCCCACATCCTCATCTCTGATCCTCCTTCCCTCTTCCCCAACTGCAGGTGCCAGTGCGGGGCAAGAAGTGCTCCCACGAGAGCACCTTTGACCTCGCATCGTACCTGCGCATGAACCAGGGCCTGGCCAAGAACGTCAAGCGGGCATGGCGCTGCCCTATTTGCTACCAACAGCTTCTGTGGTCGGAGCTGTTCCTGGATGGATTCAGTGAGTGCATTTTTAACACACTGCACCGCATTGAAGCCCCGTGCACCGCACTCCACCCTGCGCGCTTGCCAGTTTCTTTTCCTTTTCTCCCTCACTCTCCTCTGCCTCTAACCTGCCTCTTTCCCCCTCCCCCCCACTCCCCATCCTCACTGCTCTGCACTACATCTCTCTGCTTTCCCACAACCCATCCCCATCAATGTAGAACACATTACGTGAGTAAGGTTTTCAGTGCAAAAGTCGTTTTATGAGTCGACTCAAAACACGACACATTACGCAAGTAAGGTTTTCAGTGCAAAAGTCGTGTTTTGAGTCGACTCAAAACACGACACATTACGTGAGTAAGGTTTTCAGTGCAAAAGTCTCTTGATGAAACGAAGGTGTTTCCAGATGGCAAGTGGTGGAGGATGGAGAGCGAAAATCCTTCCGATGGCACTTGCTGATTCCCCCCTTTTTTCCCCTACCTTTCCTCTGCCTCTGCCCCCCCTTCCCTCTCTCCCTTCCTCCCCCTCCACACTACACTGCACTGCACCCCTCCGTTCTCC